TGCGTTGCGAATTTGTTGGTCATTTTCGCAAATCCAAAAAAAGTTGATTAAAATCGTATATTATAAGGAATTTTCGGTCACTGAAGTTATTTTCTCTTTTAATTATAGTATAGGGACAATTGTCTACATGTTTAATTGAGGGGGAAAATAATGATGGCGGGTGTAACTACCCATACTGATAATAAAAAATAGAATCGAATAAAATCATATATACATTAATTGAAACACCACTTTAAAAATTGATTAAGTAAAGATAGAAGACTACGTCATAAGTCATTCAATATAACGTTATACGATGACCAAAGTTATGGCAGTAGCTGTTCTTATTCATTTGGGTCTTATTACATTCCTGTCTTATTCTACATCTCTAGTGCACCTTTTCCAAAGTTATATTATGAGGCAGCTCATCCCAGGATTCTGTAATGGTCGGCAGGTCTAGGCTTATTTTGTTTCAAATTTATTTCAGTTAGAAGGGTTGAGTATTGGTGCAAATTAGGGTCGATGACTTTTTACTAATATCTGGTATCGGATATTGTATGATCTTTCTATCTTCTGCAATTTTAATTAGATTGTAAGGTAATCTTTTCCCCTTCCGTTGTCCTAATTTTATTTTTAATGATTTTTTTAATACTGAAAACGAAGATGGAACTTTATTAACGTTATATATATACACATGTATGAGTAATCCATAATTTTTTTTTCTTTTCTTTTAAATTTCACTTCCATTCTTGACCTCTAAAAACTGTAATTATTATCCACAATATATAAGAACACTTCTTTTCATTCATGACTTACACGTTTTTATTCTTTTTTTTCCCTTCTTTTGGGGATAAATACGGATTTATTCCAATAATGAAATAAAGTAGAGGAAGACCTGCAGAGTTTCATGCCGGAAAACACTCCAGAAACAGCATGATACTAGGCTAACGTAGTCCCCAAGCCAACATACAAAGATCATTAGTAAGAAAAACAGATGATGAAATAATGCTAGCACAATCATCAATACAGTTCGGAGTTTTGGGTTTTCCAGAATGCATCCTTGAATTGCGTGGCTTCTATTTATGATGTATGGTGTCCTTCAAAGACAAAGGATAGAGTGGGAAGCTTTCCTTTCAAAGCCTAAGCACCCTAAATAGGCCAAATGAGCATTCAACGAATAAGGGATAACACAGTAAATCACAATGTCAACTGCTATAGGCAGTTGCTTTGAAACCTTCTTTTTATTCTTTCCATTGCACTAGGTTATTTAGACCCAAATATGGAAACACGTTTGACCTTAGCTTCTTACAGATGCAAAGAAAACTGACCTTAATTTGATTTCGGTACTCATTGTCAGCTTGCACTGTTTTACACAAACTCAGGACATAGGTATACAGTTATGTTTCGGTTCAAGGAGGAGAATAAAATGGGAGGACATTCTGTATTTGAGCAACAGTTAAACAGAACGATGCTGTTTTTGGAGGACTAATTGCATTCATCTGCAGCCATCTAAAACTTACATTTCGATGGACCTCTTCAAATTAGAGAAATTTTGAAAGGCCTGCTTCCCCTCTCCCTCTTCACCTTGCGATTCACAAGGATAAACAAATCAAGATTATCAACAAGCTTTTGTATTGTACCCAGATCGAAACTCCTTTCACTCTTCATTCAGTAGTCCCAGCAAACAAGAATGCAGAAAATAGAGGGATGGGAGAAGACATAAATATACGATAGAGATTCAAATATGACCTACACAAAAAGGCCATGACTTTCCCACACCATGAGGCAAGCTAAAATGTAACTCCACATATTGGCACTCAACAGATATAACAAATGCAAATCTTAACAGTCGTACAAAATTCAAGCCTGCAACTGAAGGAATTATTACATTATCCAAATTTGTGTTATTACTCATGATAGAATTACAGAGCAAAAGATAACTGGAGTCATGCCAAATTTCCGGTGCATCATGTTAATTGTTGACCCACGAACAATGTTTGTACTAAAATTCAAAAGACATTGCCGGGGAAACGACAAACAATATCAGCTTATGAAAAATTCTGAATTCAAACCTGTAAACTTGGAGGAACTTCAACAACTTCAACTCACTGCTTCCCATCCTGGAAACATAAAGAGACCAAATTGAAGTTTCTTGCAGAGATTTTTGAAACACATTAAGTCGACTGATTTCATAGAGATAGTCAAAGTTGATAGAATGCTAGTGAAGTATAAAATTTTAGTACATCTATTAAAGAAATAAGTAGTGTTTAAACTGCCAAGGCTGTACAAAATCATCCAATGGAGTGAATAGACCGGGTGGCAAAGAACCATATAAGCCATTATAATCTGAGGAATCGACTTGCTCAGGCTAAAGGTGAGCAAATAGTTAGTTAAACCAAGTTAACCAAAATTCTGCAGTTTATTCAGTTTGTTTATTTGGTTCGGTTATTGGTTTAGGAAATCCGAAATAAATAAACAAATTAAATCGAACAAGCTTTTTTAAACAATAAATTACTTGTATATGCTTAATTAATTTAATCTATATATGATATTAAATACCCAAATATGTAATAACTCAATCCAACAATTTAAATAATTGCATATAAATGTTTTATTTAACAATTTTAATTTTTTATTTTATAAATAAATCTTAGAAACAAGAAAAGTAAAAATATAAAACTATCAATTCAGTTTATTCGGTTATTTCAGTTTGGTTAAGAAGAAATACAATTTTGGCAAGTCAATTTGGTTTATTCGGTTATTGAAATATAAAATTTGAACAGACCGAGTGCACATCCCTAGGTCAGGCAACATTGCTAAATTTTTTTTCATAAGTGATAACCTTTGACACTTCCAATGATTGAAAATGTGTTTTAATAAAATGCAAGCCAAGCTCATGGTAGTTTCGGTTCACTAATTGAAGTGTGTCTAAATTTTATCCATCATGTCCACTCAAACTATCACTTAATACATCACTTTTTAATTATATAATTGGTTACAGGAATTTATCGTAAGATAAATTTACTTAACATTGCCAATTATTGGATTTGGGATTTTTAATCCCATAGGGTTGGTTGGTTGTTGTTGTTGAAGCTGACGATGCAAATCTGCCCGTTTAACACCTTTAGATAAATGGTAATGGTCAAACAAGAATTTAACATTTGTATAGCAAAGGATTACTACTAAAAGTAACTAAAATACGTATTGGCAACCTAGAAAAAAAAAAAGCATTGGTTCAAAAAATTAAACTATTAGCTGAGTAAAACAAAACTCCTACCTGGGAAGCAGGAGCATCATATCCATAAAAAATACGAGAACATTCTGTGTATGCAGATCCAATTCCAATCCCAGCACCTAAAGTTACCGAAGCCCATCGAGTCACTGGACTCCCTGGTATGGAAAATCAAAATGCATCAATATTACAAATTCAAGGGAGGAAAAAAAGCAAGAAGAAAATCACAGAAATGGAAGGCACAGAACTAATAATGTTTGGACAGTAGACTACTATAAAAAAATCAATGCAATTCAAAAGTGAAGAACATGGTATACTCTGACTACTGCCTAAATGAATTCTATTAAGGCAAAATGCATAATCACTTTAACTGTTTCAGCTTTACTTGGTAGGAGCAATAGAAAAGTTTTAACTCAGCTGTTAACCTACAAGAAAGGATTGTGTTTATGAGACATAAAATTAAAAACATTTTGCATTCCATCATCTGCTCAAAGCATCAAGTTTTTCAGGAATCCTAGGCAAACTAGAGCAGTGGCGAAAAAAGCTAGTTCTGGTGCTGGAATATATGCAGGTAAATCAATCATACAGGGATGTAAGCACTGATTGAATATCTTAAAAGCATGGCATGTCTTCGTTATCTTTAGTTTTCTTTAAGTAATGTGTGACACTCGTGTCTGACTAAAACTCAGACATTGGCATGGTAATATGATCCTCCAAGCACCCCAAAAGCATATATATATAGAAGAACTTAGCAACAATTGAACTTATCTGTGTGGAACACATTCACGTATCTAACACTCACAGGAATCCCCGTAATACATAGCTCCTTAAGGAAGCCGAACGATAAAAAAACAAAACAATTATAATAGTTTCGGTATTCCAAACAGACATAACATCATCACATCCATGACATTATTATGTAGAGGCATCGCATCGGATTGGTACAAAAAATGTAATAATAAAAATGGACAAATGATAGCGATCAGAAAACAATATCTGTATGACCAATCAGGCCAATCTGCAATGGTTAACAACAACAAACTGTAAAACACATCATCTAGTTCAATCTTTAACTTGAAAGTACTAAATTCTATAAATTATGTACAAATTGTTTCTAAAGTTCACAATCGAACGCTTCAAAACCAACATCTTAAAAGAAAAAAAATGAATTGACAAAATTTAGAGAAAAGGAGACAAACTGAAGAATAGGAGGCCGCCGAAAGCACCAGCGGCTGATGAATAAACGAAGCGGCGGACAGTGAGATCGAGGCAGTCGTCCCATTTTGCGTTAACATCATACTCTTCCGGCACCAATCTCTTGTTCTCTGTCATTTCCGAGGGTTTTTTTCTTCTTCTATTCTTTGCTGTTATTGTTGTTGTATTCCTCCTTCGGCTTCGTATTGTCTCACCTTTTCGGGTCTAGGGTTACATACCTTAGGCTGTTGAAATCCGAGCCTTCGAATCGAACATTGGGTTAGAAGTTTCAGCAGAAGGGCCAAGTTATGATAAAAAAAACATTTATCCAGACTCAATGGAGCTGGGCCTGAACCATGTTTGGTAAGTTAGTAGATATTCGATCATTCGAAGACAACTGAGGAACAAAAAAAACCGCAAGAGAAAAGTGATGCTTCTTTGTTTGATAATAACATATCAAAATGTTTAAAACTTTTCAAATTTGCTCAGGTTCATAATTCATATAACATTTTTATTTTGTTATTTTATAAAAATATGTAAATAAACGAATCATTTTTTTGGTGAATAACAGTGAAACAGAAGTAGGACCAAACGACTAGCTTGTCCCGAGTAGATCTTCCTGCAGCAGCATCTCCAACTCAGAAGGCGGATGTCCAAATTCCAGCACACCAGGGGAAGAACCACGGCTCCAACCAGCTAAAGCATCAGCTACAGCATTTTGTGTACGATGAATATGCCTCAACTCGACAACCCATTCCCGATTCCTAAGCTCATTAACAGCACACACAAAACCATTACCCGCCAACGCGTCCGACAGTTGATACCATATCTTCGACACCTCTAAATTGTTCGTTTCCAGTTCAACTTGCCGATATCCAAGATCCCATGCATACCGGAAAACATCATGGACTGCCCATGCATACTTGTATTTCAAACATTAAAGACTTGTAGAAGTATCATTTTATTTAAATGCTTATTTTTTCCAAACTCTTGAAAGACGTAGTTGATTGTTTTTCCATTTTTTCACATTTATTAATCAAAATAGCACGTACGATTTATCCTGATTAAACGCGTCCCCAAAAGACAAGATTGGAAAACCGTACTTGGACTTTAGAGCATAGGATTCCGTTTTCCATATTTTAAACCGTTCCAGATATTTCTCTTTGTTTGTCCTTTTGAACCTTCTCACTTCTTAACTTCAGAGTCGCTCTCTTTCACTTTTTTATACAAGCAACCATGGCCGATGAAACTCCAGCTCAGAACGGTGTTTTTTAAAAAAAAAATTGGTGATCGGTATATTTATTGATCTAAAATCAGTCAGATTATATTTTTTGATCTAACACCTGTAGCAGTAAAGCGCGTCCGCGCTATATGTTGAATTGGCGTCACGTGAGGTATAGCGCGGCCTCTGTACCGTACTATACAATGACATGGGTTACACGTATATATAGCGCCCCCTGATCCGCGCTATATGTCACGTAAGGGTATAGCGCGGATCAGGGGCCGCGTTATACTTGATTATATGACACGTGGGGTATAGCGCGGTACAGAGGACGCGTTATACCTTTAATTACCCACCCGTTCACACCTCAATCCTTCCTATAAATACCCTCATCCTCAATCACTTTCATCACACCAAATTCTCTCAAATTTTCTCAATTTCTCTCAAATATTCTCTCTGTTTAAGGTATATTTTATAATATTTTTAATATTATGTATTTAATTTATTTAAGTATTTTACTTTATTTAATATTTTACTAATATAATTTTTGTACAGATATATAATGGAAGACAGTCTACTTCGCTTGGATGGAAATCATATATCTCGACACTTTGCTGATACGGTAACATTTTAACGTTTTAATTTAATTTAAATTATTAGTAATAATTAGTTTATTTATTTAATGCATTATTATTAGATTAAGAATTAATTTTTGTAATTATTTATTTTTAGGGGAACGACCGTGTATTAGATCCTTTTATTAGGAATCTTAAGTTAGTGATACCTAGCCGTGTCTTGCCGTATTTAGTAGAGACTGGATTTGGTTACATAGGTAGATATCAGGGTCATTGTAAGATAGAACCAAACCTTATTTCTGCCTTAGTAGAGCGGTGGAGGCTGAAGACCCACACATTTCATATTCCGTGCGGAGAGTGCACAATCACGCTTGAGGATGTTTCTATGCACATGGGGCTTCCGGTGGATGGAGATGTGATATCAGGGATAGCTTCCGATTCTTGGACTACTTTGTGTCGGGATAATCTAGGACGTGTCCCGGAAAGTTTTATCGGAGGTAGGATACCGTTAAATTGGTTAGATGCCAATTTTCGGGAGTTGAGCACAGACGCCTCTGAGGATGAGGTTAAGATGTATGCACGGGCATGCATATTGCAGTTGATAGGAGGGTTGTTGATGTCGGTCAAATCGCGTAACCTAGTTCACTGCATGTGGTTGCGACATCTTAGCGACTTTCGTCTCGCCGAATCATTCAGTTGGGGCTCGACAGTTTTGGCTTTACTGTACAGGGAGATGTGTGGAGCCACTGACTACAGGCGTAATGCTATCGGCGGATGTCTCTTGCTGCTGCAGTCTTGGGCATGGTATCGATTGCCCTTTTCATGTCCCGTTGTGAAGAACTCATTCGTATTTTCACTACTTCTGAGGTAATTATAAAACTGATTTTATATATTAATAATTTTATACAGCGTATAATAATTTTTTTCCTTGAATAGGTGGTCTACTGATAGGAAAAATCATCAGGAGCTACCTGATGATTTAGAAAAAATTAGGGTGCTCATCGATCAGTAGGCTAGCACACAGGTATGAATTTTAATGTTTAAAAATCAATTTTAGATTATAGTTATATAATTAGATTATTATTTTGATAAAAAATTATATAATATTTGTTTTAGTTTGAATGTGTGTCATATTGTACTGATGATGTGAGGGCGGTGATCCCACCTGAGTTGAGGGGCCCATAAGATGTTTGGATGGCGATGGTCCCTCTGATCTGTTATGCGACCGTCGAGTAGCACTCTACTGATCGCGTGCTCCGGCAGTTTGGTTGTTTTCAACCAATTCCGGAAGCACCTCGCAATATGGACGAGTTGTATAGCTTAGATAGACGCGATAAGACAGATACAGATTGGCTGGTGAGGCATCATGAGTGGGTCGTGTTGTGGGAGGATCAACATCGGCGTCTTCCCCGTAGAGAGCCCATTTTTTATGACCTCTTGATGTATGCTAACAGTTATTATGAGTGGTTCAACAGTAACGGGAAATAATTTATGCTTCCCAAGGATGCACGAGGGCAGACCTTTCCGCGACATCGACAGAGACGTGATCCGACACAACACCATCGTCCCCCGACTCGTGAACGGAGAGTAGGTTCTTCCGGTTCATCCTCAACTGCACCAGCAGGACCTTCACAGCAGCCACCGCAGCCATTTATGATGCCACAACCATATATGATGCCGCCATCGCCTTTCCATTACCAGATGTCACTGTCGCCGCCTTCACCTAGTTTTATGACCCCGCCGCCACCACCGTCAAAGATGACCCCTCCTGGAGGCTCTTATGGGTCTATGTTTGCATATCCGACTTGGGTTTCATATGCTATATGTAACATCCTCAATATCGAGTTAGTGATCAAATTGTAAAGTTTCAAAATTTGGTAACTAAAGAAGAACAATGTATTAGTTCAATGATTTATTTGGAAATAAATCCTAAAAGTTGTTAGTAATTATTAGATCAATTAGAGGCCAAAGTCGTCATTTGAATTGGAAAGGATAAGATAATGATTTATATGGGATAAGCTTGAGAGATTTCTCCAGAAACTCTCTTTTTTTCTTCTTCTTCCTTTCCTCCCGTGTCTCCATAGCAAAGGTAAGTTTTCTGATTAGTTGATTATTTGTTGATTTTAAGTATGGGTTGTGATCATTAGAGGATAACTAAGTTTAAGGAAAGCTTAAGTTATCTTAAAATCAAAAGATAAAGGAGTTAGAGAAGATTAAAGATTTGGAGTTCTTGAGTGAAATCTTGAAATAGAGTCTATAATAAGAATAGAAAGTTAAATTTGACTTGTCATCAATCTAGTCAAGACATACAAAGTGTTAGAAGTGGAATTAACACATGTTGTGAAATTAAGGTAATTCTTGAATTTTATATGAAGGATAGGATTTTGAGGTTTAAGATGAAATAAATGAGTACAAATTGGTTTAAGTGTGTGTACTGGAGTTAAGAATGAAAAAGGGGATGAAAAATGAAGGATTTAAGCAAAAATGGATGAATTTTCGGGTTTAAAAAGAGGATTCTGGGCAGAGTGCATCGATGCACATTCAATGTGTATCGATGCATCAAGGTTAAATCCTAGAAATTGTTGAAGGTGCATCGATGCATAAGGAGTGCATCGATGAACTCATTTAAATTAAATGAACATCTAATGCAATGGATGTATCGATGCATAAGGAGTGCATCGATGCTCCTGCTTAAAATACAAACATCAAATAAGATTTATGCACCGATGCATGGGTAGTGCATCGATGCACCCGTCAAGGGATGCACCCGTCAAGGGATGCATCGATACATGGTGTAGTGCATCGATGCATACCTTCAATAAGAGATGGAAATAGTTTTCTTTTAGCCTAAGGATTTATAGTTTGAAATATATCAATTCGTATGCTGATAAGTATCAATGTATTACTATGTAGATTTAGAGCGTAATCTCATTCCAGAACAATCGAATGATTAGAATCGAATCAAAGCAAGGCTAAGGTGAGTGCAATTTAAATTGTACTTATGTATCAAATAGACATTGGCTTGCGATGAGCCAGTGATGAAGTTTCTATAGTAAGAAGGGAATTCTAAAAATGTTATTTGAATTGTGATTCTTATGTTTGCACGAGTACATGAAAATAGGTACATATGTTATATGTATTGCATCTGTTACATGAATTGAGTGAATAAATATTAGTGTGATGAGTTATGTGAACTGGTTTAAGTAGTGGATGTAATTATATACGTTATGTAAAATAAATATGTGATTTAAGACATAAGTTAAAGAACTATATGATATGAGATAAGATATACACATGCTATTATAAGTAACTATAGGATCACGAACTATGTAAAATAGCAATGATTTATATGATAACAAGAGAAAGGATATAAATTACATGAGTTAGATATATATATATATATATATATATATATATATATATATAGGAATTGGTATAACCAATTTATGAGATTAGATGAAAAGTGAGATAAGTTAAATAACATTGATTTATAGGACAATATAAGAATAATATATAAATGAGGAGACATTGACAGAAGTGATTATATGAACATGTAAAATAAGTTATATGGAGAGATTTATGAGCTGAAATGAACATATAATACATGAGTCATATGGTAAAGATTTATGAAGCTATAGGAAAATGTTATGGGAACTATGTGATGATAAGTTATGAGAAAATATTTATATAGGTAACAAGCTATGTGAAATTGAATTAAGTAATATATGAAACTAGAATATAATTAATGTGAAATAAGTGATTAGGTAAAACTATGAGAAGTTATAGGGCATTGTTATTCGAAGTATATGAAAATATGTATATGGATACCTGTAAAAGTTTATATGTTGTACTATGTGCTATGTGATGTATATATGAACATATGTGAACAAGATATGACATGCGAGTTTACATGAACAAATGAGGAATGATATAAGCCATATGAAATGATCTACGTGAATATATGCACTTGTGATACATGTGATATGATATGAAATATATAGTTACACATACATGTGGTATGTGATAGAAGAGAAAGAACAAGTGATATGAAAGGTATAAATGATAATACCCATGTTATATGATATGAGAACTAGTGGTATAGTTGGCATGCCAAGAGTCGAGGGTATATTAGTCCTTCGGGACGTATCCAGTGGTCCTTCGGGACATAATAGTCCTTCGAGACGAATACTGAACAAATGTTCGGTGCCCCATGAGGGAATTTATACGAGCTGTGGTGACAACATTAGTGCACATCCTCAATGTACTCACATACCTTAAGTTCTCACAGGTGTATATGGGCTAATAAAAAGACAATAACAAATTCAATACATATGATGCATATGCTTTTGGTGATATGGAATATGTTCCATGAATTATATGATATTATGTATGTTTAGTTGTGAAATGATAAATGTGTTATATGATATACAGAAATGGTAAA